AGGCGTTGGTGGTACCTTTTGTCGGGCAGAGGGAGTTCGCGTTAGAGCAAGACCGCGAAGGAGAGAAAGAGAAGAGGGGAGCGAGCGAGAAAGAGAAGAGAGAAGAGTCATACCGTAGGTCGGTCGGCGTAGTAAATATACGGGGAGTGAGAGGAACGCACACACGGCAGAGAATAATTTTCTCACTCTGCAAACGCCCAATGAACAACGCTCCGGAGCCACCGATGTGCCGCATCGTGCGATAACTTCCGTCACCTCTCCGACCCCCGTCTCCTCCCTCCCCCTACTCCGTACGTGTATATGTGTGTGTACCGCGCCGGGCTGCGAGGTGAAAATACCGCCCTCTCCTTCCACCCAACCCCCCGTTCGTGAGAGGAAGGTGCTACCTCGCGCGAGTAACTACGGCTAGAGAAAGAAGAAAAAAAGCCGAGTGACAGAGTGACACGGTGAGGGGAGAGAGAGACGATCCTGTGTGACCGGGAAAGAGGAACAGTGAAATAGCCAAGAGAGGCGAGAGGAGAGAAAGAGAGCGAGAGGCCGGCGCCCACCCGACAAATATCCTCGTACAGCATGACCTCGAACAACTCGCAGAAGCTCTCCACGACGGAACGAGTGATCAAAAGTAAGCGACACGAACATTTTTCTTATAATCGACACCCGTGAATGGGTATATCGTTATATGCGAAGTGTACGATACCACCTTGGCTGCGTACGTACGTGTCAGTGTACGCGCGATCTTGGCGTACGTGTGCGTGGCCCTGCGGCCTCGTCTTTTCCGGCTACCTCGGTCGGTACGTCAGTGTACTCTCGGTATTTCTGCACTCTCGTGTACATTTTTCTCCCTATCGTATTATTATACACCACTAAGACGATTCTTATCTATCCTACGATTACTCTAATCCTTCGAACGAAAATGTTATAACATCGTGGCGTTTCGAGAAACGAACGACGAAATAAGTAGGCACGTCAAAACACGTCGCGTGCCGTACAGGATTGATTTTCTTCGTAGCTTCGCGGCGCCATTGCTATCGACCTGCCAGCATTCTCATTGACCCTTCGAATCATGCTTTTCCACCCTGACGTCCCGCATATCCTCCCTTACGTACGATGAATTTCACGAATAGATCAGAAACTGGAATTCCATTCCGTTCCATTGCCACTCAATTCGGTTATTACTCGCTTTATCCGCGTATCCCTCGCGCGGTGCAACCTAACCTAATTCGCGTTTTACCCATCAACCCCGCCTCCCCCGCCATCTTCTTGTCTGCAAAGATGTGCGGCTTGCGCGGTTAGCCTCGTTTCCACGAGGTCGAGGAACGGAATCGTCTCGCGGAATCGTCTCGAGGACGCGGCACGCCGCTCTCGAGGATTTCGCGTCTGGACGTCGTCGTTCGAACAGCTGACCGGCTCGCGTGTACGTGCACTAATGCGTATCCGATGTAAATACGCGTTTCATGGCTAGGGAAGCGACCATTGGCGTCAGCGCGGTTTTTGCAAGGACGTCAAAAGCGAATCCGATATCTTCCATTCTCTCCCCTGCGCGAACACGTATATACAACGTATGTGAAACGTATTTTCGGTCGTTCACATTTTTTCGTCACGTTCTGACGTTAGATCGGTGCATTTTCAAGTGACCTCGTTTTTCTTCCGCAGAATAATTAACATCTCGGCGGTTGGTAACGAGTAAACATAAAAAATGCGGTCAAACGTTGCGCTGAGAAACTCGTCGATACATTCTCGTTAAGGAGATCTCTGCAACGACCTATATTCATAATGAAATTGAGTACTTTTTTTAAAGAAATGATTAAGTAATTATTATTAACAATATGGTTCTTTTTAGCTTGTTGATTGTTTTTGGTTGATCAACTCGTATTAATCGGTGAATTTGTGCCTTTTTATCCTCGTTTCACTACAACGCGTACTGCTCACGCACAATGGCCGCTATTAAGCATGTTCGTCTCCATTCTTCGATTCGGGCACGCGT